TTGTTGCAGTTAAAGTATTGTTATGGGTAAAAGGGAACGTACTGATAAAAAGGGAATAAAAATCCTTTGTCAGGTTGTCAGTGCCTGTTTCCCTGGAGGTGGACAAGGGAAGAGGCAGAAAAAGTCACCAGGGTGCTGAAGTCTTGATGAGGAGCAGTGTGATGCCCCTGGCAAGCGAGTTCCTCTCTCTCTCTTATGGGCTTGCTTGGGGCTGGGTTTCATTGCTTTTCCCATCACAGCCAGCCTCATTCTCCTTGCCTCCCATTCATGTGTCCTGAATTTACCACACTCTGTCCCAAAAGAAAAACCAAGTCGTTCCTTTTTGCTCTCTCTTTGTCTCTGGCACTGGGTTACCACCCATGTATGAACCACATCAACTTCCAACTCTAAATGTGATAGAACTTTTTTCCCCTTGTACAATCAGTGAGATGCTTCTATGGCAAATTCATTTAAGTTGTTTTTTATTCACATGGCAGTGAAACCCATTTCATTATTTGCTTGTTAATATACTACTTTTTTTTTTACTTCTTTACTTTGGTCAAATCTAGGTTGAAGAGGAAATATCAAACAAGGCAATCTGGAGTGATAAATAGAGGACATCTGTTGCAGCATATGGCTTAACATAACAGCTGCATTGAACTTTTCCAGCAAGTAGTAATCCTTTGGAAAAATTCAGCTGGGCATGTAATTTTGGTGCCCCTGCCTCAATGATGAAGTATTTTAAACAGTTGTGGTTTAAAACCACTCTCTACTTTGAAATGTTTTTGAAATGCAATTTACAACACAGAATACTTAACTTTTAACTTGAAAATATCTTTTGTTTAGAAACGGATCTCTAACATTTCACATTTTTCCTTTACAAAATGAAAGTTTAATGATATGCTGAAATTACTTTTTTTCACTGTGGTCACTCTTGGATAATAATTTTATAATCTTAAGAATTGGTGGTATATGAGTGTTTCTTTTTTGTTGTTTTTTGTTTTGTTTTGTTTTTTTATATTAGCAACTGTACACTGAACCATTCATTTTGCATGTAGGTGCAACTTTATACATAGGACTAACTGCCTAACTGGTTCTTCTGCGAAAGGAGTTTGATACTTTGAGCTGTAACTGGATGTTCAGCTTTAAGTATAACATCTTTGTCCTCTGTACTTGTGTCTGTTACCAAGCATATATTTTGATTTTGGGTGCCAGAAAAAATTCATCAATAAAATACATGAGTAAGCATTGAAAAAAAAATAAATATCTTTCCATTCATATATGCATCCTTATTTGATTTTCTTGTTTTCTAATAAAGTGTTTAATCAGGAACGGGTTGCTGTTAGTCATGTTTTAGGATTAAATTTTGATTGAAAACAGTTGAATTATTTTTTCCAGTGTTTCTCTCACTTAGAATTAATTCATTTTGATTTGTTTTGTTCTGTGTTTTATAGGGCCAGTTTAATTTCATCAGTTAGGAAAACAAGTTAGGCAGGGACCGCTCATCTTTACACAGTAACTTAATTCAGGTCTTCTGGTAATTCCTCTACTGACTGACATTAAAGCTAATGTCTGTTTATCGTTCTTGTCTGACAGTTCTTCCCTTCCACATCTGTATGTATTTTAAAGTGTACAGCTGAGAGAGCAGAAACCCAACCTGAAGTGATCTGCAAATGGGGAGACAAAATATCTACTCTTAATGTCTCACAACATTAAAAGCAAGGAGGAGATAAGACACTAAGAACGCAAGTGATTGAGTAGAAGTTCGACACTGATTTGGCTAGATCCTTATTTTCCCTTCTCTCAAGAGTCAGCTTCTGGATCCTAAACTGCTGAGTTGGGCTACTGAGTTGCTGTATTAGCAGCTCTTTTCCAATACATAGACAGCAGAATGAGTCCCACTGTTCCTGATTAGTCACTGGTATGGCAAGTCCTGTCCAGTCCCTTCCCTTCTGATGGGCAGGTGATGACACGCAAATTATTTAGGGGCCAGTTCAGGCACCTTGGGACTGTTCCAGCCTTCCTTATTGTGCTTGGAAACCCAGTTCAGTCAGGGCTTTCAGAGTAAGGTGGAAAACTGTTTCAGTGACCAGCTCCTTACTATAGTCTTAAAGGTAATGTTATAGTCTTAAATGCTATAGTCTTAAATGTAACGCATACATGCTTGAAAAATGCGTTGAGTCATATGGAGAACTCCATAATGGAAGGTGCCTCAAGTAAAAGGTTTAATTTTTTATCCCTTTCCCTTGCAAAGTCAAGGGAATGGATCATCCTCATAGACCCCACATAATCTAGCTCCAGGTCATCCTCAGCAAAAGTAATGAGAAGTGAATTGGCAGTGCCCTTTCATAATTGCAAATCCTTAATTAAGGAAGGATACAAGGAGGCACTTAAAATGCCAACCTCAGCAAGTAGCAGACTCCACTACTTGTTAGAATAAATTATAACTTGTCAGAATAAGATTGTTTTTTTTCATTAATATGGTTGGTAGTATTCAAAAGCTTAAAATTTGATAAAGCACATTGTTCTAGGGTAGAGGAACATCTTCTTAAAACTGTGTGTGAGGTGGTAAAACTTTGAAGATGGTGTCAGGCTTACTGGGCAGTGCTGTTTTGCTTGATTCTGCCTTGACATACTAGAACAGCTAATTTAGTCTGTTGATCCCTTCATCCTCTTACTCTGAAGATTTAATTTCCAGTTAATGAAAGGAGATCCCACCTTTTGGCTCTTCAGTGAATAGGTAGGGTTTTTATTTTGATTTGGAACTCACCTTCTACTATTACAGTTTATTGAGCCAAAGCTCACGTGCAGTGTCGAGAAGATTTTAAATGGAGGACCCTTTAAAAAGGTCTTAAAGAATATTTCTGGGCATCTCAGCTCTTGCTATATACCATCTTGCCATGTTATTTATGTGAGTTCACTTTTAGTTACAAGAACCAGCAGCGAATAGTGTAGACATATGCATTTTTAAGCATTTTAAGAAGGGCTCTTACATTTCCTTCTTTTGTGTTTTTTTCTGCTTTTCCAGTTTATTACAAGTTCTCGAAGCCCAAAGTACTGTTTTGTTGCCATCAAAGCACTCTTTTCTGCTTCACTTCCAAAAGAAGACTTCTCAAAAAAGCAGCACACATTGTCTTGCTTAAGACCTAAATCAGACCTTAAGGGAGGAAAGATTTGCATTCTGATTCTCTGCTTCTCTGCCATGCACATAATTTATACTTGTCTAGATAAAGGTTAAAAAAAGCAGCCACGTTGTTTGTACTAAGACCAGCAAAATACCAGATATTTCAGGTATAGTTGATATGCCAGTAAAGCATACCGAGAACCAGTTATAGAAGAGCCAATATAAATATTTTTATGAAGGTCTTTATTCCTTTCAATATTATATTACTTTTCATAAGGCACTCAGAACAGAATTCAAGCCGTGGCTCTTTTCTCTTTAAAACAGGAATCCTTAAATAAAAAAATGAATATTGTTATTTCTCCTTTATTTTATTTTTTTTTTGTCTGTAGCTAAAGTCTGTCAGTTTCTGCCTTATTACCACAAACTGATTGTTTTAATGTGGGGTTTTTTATTAGTAGGTAGGCTAAGCTAATTTTTTACATTAAACTGCATAGCTTTCTTTGCTTACACTTCATGTAAAATAATTGAAACATGAAATTGTATAACTGAAAGAGTCTCCCCATAGAGGTAATTAATTTTAAAGGGTAACTCAAAAATGTAGGTTGATTCCTGTTAATCACACCTCTCCTTCAAAACACAGAATGTTAAGGAAAGCCTTGAGCAATGCTGTTCTTGCTGCTTATATTTATAAATATCCCAGTCTACGTTTATAGGGAATTTTGCAGTTTCCTCCTGCCACCACTCACTTCAATTTTTCATAGTGTAACGTTCATATTAGTAATCTTGTGTGTATGATAATGATGATGATAATCTTTGTGTAAGTTCAAGGCTTGATAGCCATAAACCTCACTCAAGGTGAGGTGTGAGGCCAGGCTACTGTCACTGCAGGAAGGAAAGTAGGAAGGAGTAGTGTTGAACTGTAGACAAGACGACATATGTTGGCAAGGGAAAGGGGAGGAGGAAACAGGCTGGCTCTTCCAGCTGCTTCTGGGAGAAACCTGGGCTAGAATGAAGACCACTGCATCTCCAGAACAGCATGCTGCCCTGCAGCTTCCCCTGGCACTAGTAGTAGCTGCTCAGCAGCAGCAGGCTCTTGACACAGCATAAAAAATCAGATGTACTTTTCCAGCAACTATACAAATATATAGAAGGGAATGAAAAGCAGGATTTCTTTTACCTCCAACAATTCCTTGCCTGCTTTCCATGGGGCACATGTCTATTGGCCCTGACCCTTGTGGCTGTGCTCTGAAAGCTTTCGCTCCTGATTGCTCTTCCTTTTCTTTAGCACATTATGACTTTTAATAGAAGGGGTTTTTGTGGTTTTTTTCTATTCCTGTTAGTCTCCTTGTTTAAGTTTGTTGTTTATGTGCAAAAAATGGTAGTATTCTGTAATTTTGTATAGTAAAATATTTATGATATACGAAGTGACTTGTTGAAGGCTGGAATAATACCATATTACTATATCAGATTGTGAAGGAAGTTTCTTTGCTTGAAGTACCAACTAGCCTAGACAGTTCCTTCCATTACACTGAAGAGCACAGTTTTGATCTCTCAATGCGTATCTATTAACAGTGAGATTCTTAGTGTAAATCAGATTCTATTTTCTGCTATTGATTTAATTTTATTTGAGAAGGAAGAAATCTGAAGTCCAAGCCCTAAAAACATACATATAATACTCCTTCATTCCACATGTGATTCATGGCCTATATAAGCCTAGGTCATAGCCAGCTGCTCAGTTTTTAGGCTTAGCTCTGAGAAATTTCCAATGTTTCTGTGACAGAGACAGCTTTATTAAGCACACCAATTCTGTTAAATGTTTTGTTGGTTTTTAACAAAGCAAAAACTGTTCAATCTTTTTTGCAGAACTATTAATTATTAGTCATTTGCTTTTCTGCAGGAGTTCTCTGGAATCTATCCTCCTGTGATGCACTGAAAATGCCAATCATCCAGGATGCCCTCGCAGTGTTGACCAATGCAGTGATCATCCCTCACTCTGGATGGGAAAACTCTCCACTCCAGGATGATCATAAAATACAGCTCCATTCATCACAGGTGCTGCGTAATGCCACTGGGTGCCTAAGGTGAGTACTGCAAAACGTTTGCTTCACTTTAATCATCTTCCTTTGGCTTGAATTGATACTTTGCATTCTTAGGCATCTGCAAAGTAAAGACTTGGTTTGCGTGTCAGCCAAGATGATGATTTTCAGTGCTGTAAACTTAAAGTTAGAAATTAATTGGAAAATAAGCTTCAGGCCATTCATAAAACAATCTAAAAGTGCTGCTGTGGGTTTTCCTTTCTTCGTTTATAACAGCTTTAACCGATCTTCTCATCCAAGCTTGGATATTACAGTTGTTTTTCTCCTTGTAGATTTGTCCCATTTCCTCAGTTGCTTAAGTGAAGTCAATACGTTCTCACTATTACACCCAATTTAATCAGCACAAAAAGTAATGAAGATGCTCACAAAAAGTAACATGCCCTGTGGGTTCCAGATGCTATTGCTGGAGTTTCAATAAATATATAAAGTAGATTTTTTTCTTCTCCATGAAGATGAGAAAAGAATGGAACCAATTTAACATTCTGCAGCTAGAATACTTAAATACATCCTTAGCAAGTATGATATGTGTTTATATTTATATTTGTGTGCCAAACTTGTATATGCAACACCAAGATGCACCTTGTATAAGTATGTGCAACATCATTTGTCCATTCCTAAAAATCATTGTAGGTGTGAGAATGAAAATATGATGAGTAAGAAGAGTTTCAGTTCTGACAAAGCCTTACAAGAGGATTAAGTCATAACAATCTTTATATTCCAATCCACATAATTTTGTTGAAATATTGTAACCTATTAGGCAAGGGTTTTTTAAGCATTAGGTTTATTTTTCTCCTTGTGTATTGGAGATTCTGTTGTCTAGGTCAGAGACATAAAAATTGAGTAGTTAATATTTTTACATACATCATAAAAAAATAGTAGCTGGATTGTATGCATCAGTAATATAATCTGTGTTGTATGCTGCATCCAAAGCAGATACCCATCAAAGAGCTAAATTAAAAAAATATTTGTTAAGAGGCAAAGTAAAATACTGGTATTTTTTGACATACCTATAGCAAGCACCTTCTTGTCTTGGTGCTGCATCATCAAATTAAGTGTTTCCCTTTCAGAAGCAATATGTGAAAAGTTAAAGGGAAAAATAATTATCATTACTGATTGTTTATATGTGATCACAAGTGAATGAAATTTTGAAGGTAATAACTTGCATATTGCAAATGAATTGTATTGGACTTAAATGCAGGTGAATGTATGTGAATACCATTGTATACTGGGATATGTTACTGAAGCTAGGTGTTTGTGTCTGAGTTGTATTGATTGTGAAAAGAGTTCAGTAGTATAACTGTTGTAGTATGGTCAAATTACTAGAAAAAAGTTACTTAATCACTGTGACTGAAGTAATTCCATAAAGACAATTACCATGTTATACTTCTCATATTTCTAATGTTTAACCTGCCTCAGTTAAAGACATGCCTCTGAAAGAAGTGTCCATTACAAGTTTTCACAGTACCCCTTCTCTTACTGGACATGTCCAGTGTTCCCATACCATAAACTCTCTCTCCTGCTAATTTTTTCAAACTGTTTCTCAGGGACTGATGTCCATCCCTGACTCTGCAAACCTCAGTTCATCCTATTCATAGTTAATGGTTTCATTACACTTTGGTCTTGAAATCTTTGTGTTTGAGTTTGGGCGTTTTTTTGAGTGTGTGTGCATGCCCATTTGCAAACTGATGGGAGCTTACTGTAGTCTGCACAGCGGGTCAGCCTGAGGACTTGTGGCCACATGAGAATGACATGTTGCCTGAACTAGCACATACTGCTCTGCAGCAAGGCTTGCTACCAAGTGCTTGATAGTAGCAGCTTCTGGGCACCTTCTGGGCAGCTTGTGCAAAATAAGCTCATATCTGCCTGCAAAAGACTGTACATATTATATTTATTCAGTCATTCCCAGGTAGCTCTTGCAGCAAGGCAAGTGTCTGTCCTGAGTTGGCCTTCTTTATAAACCCAGGTCCTTTCACAATATTACGGCTTTATAAATATCTTTCTGATATCAAATCCTCTCTATTTCCCATATGCATCATTCTGTCCTCTAATGACTTCGGATATTTATTTGGACTTCACCCATCTTCTTTAGAAAATTTCATCCCACTTAGTTTGCATGGATGCTCTTCAGCAGAGCCAGAACATTTGGAGATGGTTGAACTTGATTTTTCTTCATGCTAGCTGGAGCTTTCTTGTTTACCTTTCCTCAGTCTGAACAGAATGTCAAGTCTGAGTTTGTGCGAGGGAGAAAAGTGTAAGTTGACCTCTAGGATGGTAACTGGATTTTTGTGGTAATGGGGCTGTAGGCTGCAGGAAACAGCAGATGTCAGAAAGAAAAGATCAGAAAGCTCTATGGAGATGATTGGAGTAGGTCATGCTTTGTGCAGGTTGTACTTTAGCTGGCATTATTTAAATAACCACCACCCCCAAGAAACTGAATATCTTGTGTACTTTCACTTGTGACTAGTCACAAGCCTCATGTTTCTGTTGGAAAATCTCATTGGACATTACTGGGAGGTAATGTAAATCAAGTAGGTGTAATGTGGTTGCTGGCTGAGATAGTGCTGTGTTTATCTGGTAAATTGGAAGTCTATTGTCTTCTTCCCTGGGAGAATTTTTTTCAAGATGCCAGTTTGGTTGTCCTCTGCTGTTTTCTTTTTCTCCTTTTGCTAGAGCTGTTTTGTGAAAGGCCAATGATTAAAATTCAGTTGCATCAGAATTATCAGTGACAATGCTCATTATCATAGGAAAAGTGTTGGTGTTCAGAGTACCTGACAAGTGTTTCTAAATGTGTAGTATTGACAGGTTTTAGAGACATCAGGTCTCATTGCATAAGCTTTAATGCCAGCAAGTAGGCCAGGAGGATCTGGGGTGAGGATGATTCAGTCTTCAGTGCCTTTGTTTTTCTGATACATTTTGATGCATGACATTCCTGTATTTGTACAAGGCATTTGACACTGCACCACACAACTACCTGGTCTCCAAACTGACAAGGCATGGATTTGACAGGTGGACCACTCGGTGGATAAGAGATTGGCTGGATGGCCACACCTGGAGAGTTGTGGTCAGTGGTGTCCCTGAGGGGTCAGTATTGGGACCAGTGCTGTTTGACATCTTTGTTGGGAGATTTGGACAGTGGGATTGAGTGAATCCTCAGCAAGTTTGCTGACAATACAAAACCGTGTAAAGCAGCTGATGCCCTAAAGGGACACCATCCAGAGGGACCTTGACAGGCTGGAGAGGTGGGCCAGAGCCAACCTCATGAAGTTCAACAAGGCCAAGTGCAGGGTCCTGCACCTGGGTCGGCACAACCCCAGGCACAAATACAGGCTGGGACAAGAATGGCTGGAGAGCAGTCCTGAGGAGAAGAACTTGGGGGTGGTAGTTGATGAGAAGCTCGACTTGAGCTGCCAGTGTGTGCTGGAGCCCAGAGAGCAACTGCATCCTGGGCTGCATCAAAAGAAGTGTGGCCAACAGGGCCAGGGAGGTGATTCTGCTCTCGTGAAGCTACACCTGGAATATTGTGTACAGCTCTGGTGCTCTCAGCACAAGAAAGACATGGAGCTGTTGGAGGGGGTCCAGAGAAGGGCCACCAAGATGCTCAAAGGGCTGGAGCACCTCTGCTATGAAGACTGGCTGAGAGAGTTGGGGCTGTTCAGCATAGAGAAGAGAAGGTTCTGGGGAGACCTTACAGTGTCCTTCCAGTACCTGAAGGGGGCCTACAGGAAAGCTGGGGAGGGGCTTTTCATCAGAGAAGATAGTGATAGGACAAGGGGTAATGGTTTTAAACTGAAAGAGGGTAGATTTAGGTTAGACATCAAGAAGAAATTCTTCACCAAGAGGATAGTAAGGTTCTGGAATAGGTTGCCCAGGGAGGTTGTGGATGCTTCTTCCCTGGAGGTTCTTAAGGCCAGGTTGGATGAGGCTTTGTGCAGCCTGGTCTAGTGTGAGGTGTCCCTGCTCCTAGGAGGTTGGAACATGATGATCTTTAAGATCCCTTCCAACCTTAACAATTCTATGATTCTGTCACATTAAATAACATCTGAGAGGTGCTGTAATACAATCCAGCTTCTATACAATGCTAATAAATATTTTGCATGGTATCTCTATAGGCATAGTCAAATCTTTGTCTTGTGCTTTTCCACTATGGTGCATGAGTTACTATTCCTCCTGCTGATCATCCCTTTTTTTCAGTTTGTTGAGGAGAGTTTCTTATGCTTTTTCAATTAGCAAGTTGCTTAGCTACAATTTCTAGTGCTCTTAACTGCTTATTCATTATCATTTTTAACCAAGTTAAAGTCACACAGTAATGCAGCTGAAATCAGCATGAAATTGTATGAGAGATGTCCACAACATTAGACCTTCTTTTCCTCTTATTTCTTCTTTTCCATAAAAACATTATTTACTAACTGTGCTTTGCATAATTCTGTGATTTGAAAAAAGAAAATAGCTTAAATACAATATTGTACTAATTAATTTTACATAACTTGAATAGTTTGAAGTAGGTTAGATAACTCAGAGCTCTAAATGCAGAGTTATACTTATCACTTATAAATTTAATCTTAATATTAATCTTTCATAAATTGCCAAACCACAGTTTAACATATGTTAAAGTAATTACCCAATTTACTTTGCTCCCCACTGAGATACTAGTACCATACCTCATTGAGCTCCATGAAAACTTTACTTCTTTTTTTCATTTCGGGTTTCATAGAATCATAGAATCATGAAGGTTGGGAAAGACCTTCAAGATCACTGAGTCCAACCATAATCCGACTACCACAACCACTGAACTGTATCCTGATGCACCACATCTAAACGCTTCTTGAACACCTCCAGGGATGGCGACTCCACCACCTTCCTTAGCAGCCCCTTCCAATGCCTCACCACTCTTTCAGTAAATAAATTTTTCCTAATATCCAACCTAAACCTCCCCTGGGATAGCTTAAACCCGTTTCCTCTTGTCCTATGGCCAGTTACGTGGGAAA